TATTTATTGATCATGATTGATGTTGGAAGTTTTCATTTGATTTTTTAAAATCCATCTCATCACCAAATGGATACAGTGTGGATACAGCTTTGGAATATCACATACATAAGTCATTATCACTTGGCCAAATGGTAGCCAGTGTCCCTTGAATGGTTAAGGGAACAACATATTACATATCATTTTAAAATGAAAACTAGTTATATGTTCATTTTGTTTTACAGGGTGTCAAGATATTAGGATGACACTTCGGACTCCTGACTCTGTATTTTTGTTGCCTTATTTTACATAAAACAAAGCAAAATAATCAGATTTTTCTTTTCTGGGGTTCATTGTTTCACCCTAGAATTATTATTTCAAAGAAATGTCATTCAGAGTGTGATAGATTTTTTTTTTTTTTCAGACTGCGTAATATCAGTGCTGGTAGGTAATATGTTAGAGTTTGGACATTTCTGATATGCATCATTTGAAATCTGATTCGAACTGTACATGCCTTTGTACGTGACTTGTTTGGTCTTATGCATTGATATTTCTCATACTAGCCCACAGCGATTGGAGATTTATGATAGATTTCCGGTGAGGCCTTAGGCTGTACTTGGATTGTTGTGTACAGTCCTTTAATATGGCAAACACTTCTTTCCAAAACACTTGTCCAGACCCTTGAACTGTTGAAGAAATTGTAAAATTGAAGCACAAAAGGCACTTTTATATATATATATATGTGTGTGTGTGTGTGTGTGTGTGTGTGTGTGTGTGTGTGTGAGAGTGTCTGTGTTTTAAGAATATTTTCTGAATTCCTTCTCCAAAATCTAAATGATCAATTTCCATTTTTAGTTCAGTGTTGTACTAAGTTTAGTACTTGATTCAGTCAGCAAAGGAAGTGCGATTCACAACAGCCCTACAGAACAGACCACCTATATCATGTTTTACATCATTTTGTATGAAGCAAATTTAGAAGACATGTTTTCAGTACTAAATCCTGTGATATTCTATATCTTTTCCATCTGTCTCTAAGTATTTGTTTAAAATTTATGTTGCGCTATGTACCATTTACAGTGCTGACAGAGAAAAATAATTTGGGTCATTCTACAAAAAGGGTGCCATTTGCGCCTTTATACAGTATATAAAAAATTAACAGTGAAAAGGTGATGCATTCATGTGCTAATATGTATATTTCTTAAAAGGAATTAACAAAAATCCAGTAGCTTTATTTTATTTTCATTAAGAGGGTTGATTTTCTGCCCTGTGTACTTTTTGATGAAAACAAAAAAATAGAGACATAAAAGCTAGCATTTATTCTCTGTCTACATATTTTTGATTTTATTGGACATAAAAAGGATTTATTGTGCAAAGGTTATGTGTTCACACTGTTTGCATCATATTTCCCCCTTTGAAAGATCTGAACTATTCCATAACGCAGAAAAAACTTTGTCATAAGAACATTATAATATTTTCAGAATGCAAACACTTTTTAAGGAAAAGTCTACACTTTTTTTTTTTTTTTAAATCACTTGATCTTAAATGTGGCCCTGGACCACAAAACAAGTCTTAAGTCGCTGGGGTATATTTGTAGCAATAGCCAAAAAAAACATTGTATGGGTCAAAATTATTGATTTTTCTTTTATGCCAAAAATCATTAGGATATAATGTAAAGATCATGTTCCTACTGTAGGAATATATCAAATTTCCTACTGTAAATATATCAAAACTTCATTTTTGATTAGTAATATGCATTGCTAAGACCTTCATTTGGACAGCTTTAAAGGCGATTTTCTCAATATTTAGATTTTTTTGCACCCTCAGATTCCAGATTTTCAAATAGTTGTATCTCAGCCAAATATTGTCCTATCCTAACAAACCATACATCAATAGAAAGCTTATTTATTCAGATTCAGATTTATACATCATTCAGATGATGTATAAATCTCAATTTAAAAAAAATGGACCCTTATGACTGGTTTTGTGGTCCAGGGTCACATATTTTGTTCCAATTGTCAGCAGGGTAAATTGGCAGTCTGATTGTGATTGATTGTGGAAATTGTATTTAAAAAAATGTATATTTGTAGCATGAAATGGATTAATGCAATTTACTAACAGTTAAACATTATACAACAGATATAATGTTTAAAGTCTTTCAAAAATGTACTTTTGAATCATCTTGTTAGACTGCAGAAGCTACAGATTATATAGAATGACCCATTCATATTCATATCAAGGGATCTTGACTTTGCTGATTGTATCGCAGGAGGCCACTATGACTTCTAACAGTGCAGCTAAATTTCAGATTGTTTCTTCACTGTGAGCAGCACTATGTTAAAATTGCACAAATGTTAAGAACATTCAAACAAAAATAAGAAATTTTAAACTGATTTATTTTAATTTGTTAATGTTTATCATCAAAATCCAGTAAAGAAACCCCTGACTTGAACACCTATTCTGTATTTTAAACCACGTTTTGCCTTAAATGTGAATCTGATGTGTCCCTGGTCCCATCGTAATTGTTAAAAGACAAATACTTTGAGATAACATTGCATCGCTTTTACTGTTCTCTACATTTGCCTCTCAAAAAAGTCATGGGGGATATTAGATAGTTAGTTATTTTAGCACTGCAGGTGAAAGAAATGATTAAAATGTGCAAGTCCTCCATTTTTGGAAATGCTGACATTGCAGTATGGACAAACACTTAGTCATTTTTTATTTACATGTGCTATGTTCCGTCTTTTCCTTTTCACCAAAGGTTCAACATGCAGCTTTATCAAGTTTCATTTTATCATTGTGTGATACTTTCCTTTCTCTTGATTTTCCAGCAGGTTTTGAAATAAAGTAGCATGATTGTGGATCAGTGTTCTATGTAAAGATGTGACAGAATGAAACTTGTACAGAAAATAAAATCACTTAAATTCTCAGGCCTTCCCCAAGATGTTGCTCATTTAAATTTCTAATTTTTAAAATTATTTGTGCTTACTTACTCATAAAAAATGATTAAAATGCATGGAAGTATTTATTTGCTCACGTATCAGTTCAGTGTGAAATCAGAATTGATCCTATTTACTTTCTTAAAAGAATAGTTCACCCAAAAATTTTAATTTGCACAAAATGACTCATAATTTAGTCAGAAGCAATGGTTAAAGGAAGCAAATTTTAAAAAAGCCTTGATGGATTTGTTTCTTACAAACACACAGCTTTTCACTTCACACAGTATTAATTGATGGACTGGATTTGTGTGGATTATTGTGATGTTTCTATCAGCTGTTTGGACTCTCATTCTGACGGCACCCATTCACTGCAGAGGATCCATCGTTGAGAAAGTGATGTAATGCTACATTTCTTCAAATATGTTCCAGTGAAGAAACAAACTCGTCTACATCTTGGATGGCTTGAGGGTGAATACAGTATCAGCAAATTTTACATTTTGGGTGAAGTTTTCCTTTAATATATTTTGATGGGTAATTGATAAAAAAAAATAGAGATGTGTCCTTGAAACAGTCATTTTAAATTATACAGTGACAAAAATCACATTAGTAATGGTTATGAAACAGTTGTATCACATTATGTTGCTCAGTAGTCCTAAATAAATTAACCTAAATAAACATAATTTAGATTGATTGCCTGTTTTCAATGATTCTCACTCGTTACACAGTTTTCTGGTTGGCAACGCAAGGAAATAGGGATTAAAAGATCAAGGCGTCCAGCTACCTCCAGCACTGCCTGCTGTCTCTTCCCTGTTGCCATAGAAACTGATCCCAATCCATCATAATCACAGTGCCACATAAGGACATTGACAATGGTGTGTAGTCAGCATGGATGGTAGACACTCTGAAAGCCAGAGAAAGATGGAGTGACGAACCCAGAAATGTGCATGGAGAATATTAATGGGTGGTCAGAAATAAATTACTTCCCTGCTAAGTAAAATGCCTACGGAGGTTTTGTGATCTCGTTGGCCTATCGGCTGTTGTCAGAGAGGTTTTCAGCTCGGCCAGGCTGGGAGACCAGTTTAAACCCGACTGGTTCTAAAATTGTATGGTTAGAAGCAGTACACAAAAAAATGTTCAAAGCCCTCTATTCTTTCCAGATGATAAAAGAATATGAGCAATAATGAGCAAACGTTAGCACTGTCCGATTCAGGAATTAATTGATCGTTTGAATCGAATCTTTTCAAAGAATCGTTTCATCTAGCCTATTTGACAAAACTGGTGTGAACAATTCGTTTACGATTTGGACTGAATCGGTCCAACTCAGTACTGACTCACTGAACTGAAAACCCTCTCTTTCGGACGTGTCGGATTCGCAATGAGTCGAGAACAGATGAGTGAGCTGATATTTGAAGTGAACCGATGATTTGACTGATGAGAGAAAAAATTACTTTAAAACATATGTTTTACAAATGAAACATAGCCTACTGGAAACATGAGTTTATTCGACATTGTTATATTTTCAGCCAAGAAATGTTGAACGTCATATCCTTTCAGTGAATACAAATAATATTTAGATTTTAAATGGTTATCTTATGAGCTGCATGGCTGCAACAAGTTGAAATGGGACATATAAAAGTAAAGCGCTTAGTAATAAAACTTAGTCTAATTAAAAACGTATCAGGCTAAAACAGGAACGTTTTAATTTAGGGCCTATTTACACCTAGTCACTTCATGCGTTAGTCTTAGGCTACTACTTGTAATGAAGATCACGCATCTAAGACTTTCAGTTTCTTTTGCGGAAGTTTGCGCGTCGGCTTGTTGAAGAGATAACACGTGTTGGCGCTGTCATAGGCCTATCCAGGGGCGTGTAAGTGTTTTGGGGGCCCTCAGCAAGTGGTCCCGTGGGGCCACCCTCGGTTCCGCAGTAGCGTGAGGACAACTAAAAGCTTGCTGCTGCATGTAGATGGCGTAATTACTTAGTGGAATAAAAAGACTCATGAATCAGTGTATTTGAACCTGTTCTGTGAAACCGTTTAAACGAACCGATTCTCAGAAATGAGTTTTACTTCACTACTCCACACAGCTGAAAGAAAGTGAATCAGTGACGTAAGCATAAGGGGGCGGGGTCTCGGGGTGAGGAGCCATGGCTTCAATGAAAACTGAGGTAAGAGCAGAGCAACGATTAATGTAACTTTGTTTATCTGTGTAATCATGCTGGTTTGGTCGGTTTGACTCAACGACTGATTGACAAACCGTTTGAGGCATACTGAGCGGCCGGTTGAAGGTTTGAGCGGCTATCCCGAGCAGGTTTCCTCACGGGTCTTTCAGAGCCCGCCTGACGGTCTGTTTCAGTGTGAAAACTCGGTGCTGTTGTGCGAGTGAGTGCTCGTGAAGCTTTGTGAAGGGAAATAATGGGGCGGCCTCCCATTTTGCGGTGCGGCTGCTGTTGCCTGGAAACCTGAATTCAGTTTGCCTGTGCTCTTTGTACACGGCAAGTTGATTGTTGTTATGCTAGTTCCAGGGCACTATCCGGCTTCAGATGCTGCTGTGTTGCTATTGTAAATACAGCGGCAGTGCATATTGTTATATTATTGTACATCATCCACAAACGCTTCCCTTCGTACCTCAGCCAAGCGCCCAGCGGCATTTCCCTTTTGTTTAGGAATATTTCAGTAAAATCAGTAGTATGCAGCTTCTTTCATGCAGGAAGCTGTAGCTAAGAGCTACTTGGTGCTAAAGCACTTGTCAGCATTAGTGTTGTGTGGTTAAAATGAAGTTACATTGGTTTCATGTAAAAGGATTTTAGATACGCGTTTGCTCTTTGGAGAGTTGTTATGACCCAAGGTAAAATTCCCTAGGGAAGCCGTTTGGAATTTATGTAATAATCTTGACTATCCTAAAGACCCTTATGTAATTTTATCTCAAGATTCAAACTTAAAAAAATATTAATAAGAATTAGTTCCAAATTATGATCGAAATTCCAAATAAAATCCTGTAGGCTATACGTTCCTTACAGATTTTTTTGACAGGAGCCACCCTGTTAAGTCATATTCATAGAAAGAGGTATTCAGGAATGTCTTTTTTGGCATGACTCAGATATTTAGTATATTGGATGAAACTGAATTGCAGTTTTATTACTGACAGCCATGTCTGCATGGTGTTTAGGTGCTCGCTATATGGAGTACTATGAGGAAATAAAACACATCACCACGTTTATCCATTGGAGAGAACTTGCACTTGTTCACCGACAGGGGGAGCCCTGTGATTGGGTCTTTTCAACGGTTTCAAGTGTCTCTTGTAGGAAAAGACGGAATGAGAAAACATGTAGGCTATAAAGGTGCATGACAGCATGGTCTTTAATGCAAGCCTTTGTTGGAGGAATGTTCTGTTGGAGACATCAAGCAGAAGGGCCAGTTAAAAGTTTCTCCTTGGAGTGTTCTTGCGTTGAATGTTTTTAATTAAGATAACAAAAAAGATGAAGCCATACTTTAGTGTGGAAGTTTCAGGTAGATATTGTTATCTGAGTTTTCACTGCATCCAGTGATTGAGTCAAGCTGACGTTGTTTCTAAACGTTTTTATGTCTTGTGAAACGGATCTACATGGGTGTCTTTGGCTTAAAGTCAAGGAAGTGGGCATGGGGAAGAATTTTCAGTGGAAAAAAAATAATCTTAAATTAATTTATGTAATTTATATGTATATTAAAATACTCGTAAATATAAACAGCCTATTTAGTTCCCCTCACTCTACAACAAATATTTTAAATTTAACGGTATTCAGAACAGAACAAGAATGAAAAATAAGTAGTTATAAAATTATATATTCAACTATAAAATAAATCTAATTAGGCTATAGTGGCATTCATTATAAACAGCATACAAATGTCAAGCAAAACTGAAACAGCATTGGGCTCACGAGCCTGTCTCATACCACAAGAATCCAAATGTTTCCATTTTTGCCATATTTGTAACATTTGTTTGCAAAACTATTATTCATTATGTAGCCTAAACATAGCTTTATACTTCACTCATGTTCTAATATCCGTGTAAAATCCTTCACATGCGCAAAAATGTTTGTTTGGGCACAGCACGCTGATTTTACAGCGGACCTTTTTAAAATAAACATTGTAACTTTTATGTTTGGTTGACTGCATTTTAGTTTTATGATGAATGTCTGAAATGTCAGGCAACAGTAGAACTAATGTTGTTTGTGTGTACGTGAGGCGCCATCGCGATCAGATGGATTAAATCAAATAAAGATATAAAGAAAATAAATAAAATGCATTAAAAGTGTCACAAAAACGAGCGTAGCCTAGCCTATAGGGGGAGACCGGGGATGATAGTAACACTTTTTGTTTGAGGGTCAGTAACTTAGTGGTTGTTCATGCTAGTTCCCTTTTAGTCAGTCACGTTTGACGTTACGTCAGTCATGACTGATGAATTGGGATCTCGCCCGAGAGCCCAATCACCTTCGAGTGTTAACTAAACAAGCCAATGACAGTGTTT